GACCAACTATTGGCTTCAGTGTGCGCATTATGGATCAACACCGCCCGAAGACTCTGCGAGTCATCGGAGCTACTGTCAGATGGCCAGAGGATTAGCTAATTGTGAGAGTCGAAGCGTATTTAACTCCAAGTAACTTGCGTTACCGTCATCCCAAAACCTCCTTATAATTCTCCGTCGACAATATTCCTCTCTGGGTATGCTGCAATACCGGTGATTTCATCCACAACCAGGTCGCTTTAGTCGCGTGCTAAATGCACTTTATTGCCTCTGTCGAAGGAAGTGCTAGAGCTGCAATTTAAAACCACCCTGATACGTTCAATATGACTATATTTCTGGTAATTCTAGCCTAGATCACCTGGTTGGTCAATCCTTAAAGCCCAACCATGCTGTGTTGAACCACTAGGTGAAAATTTACGTGTTTCCAAGAGGAGTGCAAGGTGTGAAACGCTGATTTTTGCAAAACGGTGAAACGGATGTACACTGAGTCTCAACAAAATTTTGGTGCAATGTTTAGGATTTCGGTGTTTTGCGGATTTTCCCTCAGAACGCACAAGGTCTAGCAACTCCTTTTGCAATTTCGTTACAGATCCTCTCTTCGTTACAATACCGCGGAGTGAATAAAAAAACAATAGCGTAGGAAGCCGTTGCTTAAAGCGATGGCCCAAAAGCATTCCGATTCGCCCAGTTAATACAAAGCAGAGCATACTATCTTGGACCGAGGGTATGCAAATAACTTCTAGTGGTATGCGTGTATAAAGGTAACCTAAAATGTTAGGATTAGTGAACATGAATACATTAACTGAGCTATCTGGACTGCGATCTTATCAGAATTCTTCACTACCATTGAAAGTTTGAGCTGTTTTAATGAAGCAGAATGTCAAGAGAAGTAGATGACTCGGCGTATCGATAGTATGCTGCCTAAAGATGTGTATTTCGTTCGTGTTCCAGAACAGAACAAAGTCAAATGGTGTAAAAAAAATCTCGCTCTCACTACAGTGCACTTGGATCTCTGATCGATTGCACCTAGAATCATAAAGCGAAGAAAACAATGAGTACATGTGATCCAAAAACAGAACTATGGACTAGTTTTGAACTTTCAACAAAATATATGGCTATTTAATGTAAAACTTGTTATCTATTTGATGATAAGACTCTGAGCCTAAGCGAAAGGAATATTACTGATTGTCTATAAATACTGTCCTTTTACCTTTGATATGAGTAGTACGGAAAGATTGGTCCTCACCAGCAGGCGGACCACAAGAGTCGTTCTCTGTTATGAGCTCATCATATGGGCCAGTGTCCGGGGGTGACGAAAACCAATCTTCGAAGTGATTATCAGTTTGCTCAGATGAGAACTTTGTAGCTCATAAAATTTGTGAAATCGCTGGAACTGAAGACTCGATGGAGTCCCCCGTGGTATAATGATTTTCTTCTAGGTAGAGTGTGAAGCCCACGGAATGCCTCAATATTTCGTCGCACACCTATTCGGTAAATTTGCTTTTGTTTTTGTCTGCTATCCTAAATCCATCGGTAGCGGGATCTCCAGCAGTCTCCACGTTATGCGGATGGATACCAACACGCTGCGGATAATGAGAGGCACCGTCCAATCTTAAGTTCCAGCAGGTTCATCACGCTTGTGAGCTCAAGGAATGCCCTTGTTGTAAAATTCGAGTCAATTAAAGTGGACAATTAAGGAAACGGGACAGATTTTAAGTGCACGGTATAGGTAACTGGTAGTGAGTTGTGGAGAAAAGATTTGTTATGAAGAAGCTGTACACTTCATTCGTTCAGTTTGGCGAATTTTTTAGGTGACAGACTTGTGGATGAGACTAAATTATTACCTACATCTCGAACGCTTGCAGAGTAATTAGACAGGAGAATGAAAGTGTACGAAACAAGAAAGATAGAATAGGATACAAGTGTAACTAATAGACATCGCTACATTACGTTTAACTTCTTTTCATTCTTCGAACTTCGTGGTGCGGACAAAACGCCATAATAGTCAGCAGCTAACTTCAATACAGATAGTTACCTACGAGGATTCTTGGAAAGGTCCTGAAGAATTTGGTTTTTGTTTATTCAGAACTTTCATTTCAGCGCAATCGCTAGTTATTGTCAAGAGTGCTGGAACGAAGGCAAAGCACCAGCATATTCGTCCAATATCATAGACTATCAAGACAGTAGCTGTCTGTAAGGTTGTGCTGAAGTACCACGGATCGAAACTACAAGGCAATCTTTTGTAATGAAAAAGTGGAATTGTGTCCAGTCGCCCTGGCCTTGCTAAAGCCGGACCCCAGTCGCGTCCACAGACTTGTTACTTTTTCTCAGATTGCTTACAAATGTGGTGGCATTTGCTCGCTGCAATAACGTCACTGACTTGGGTGCTTGTTAACCTAAAGTTCTATTAGCTTATCCTATCCCTACTTTTGAATACTGCTTCCTGTGCGAAATTTTCCGAGCCCCACGTTTCTATCACTCACGGTGATCTAACACAATTTCTTGGTCACTTATATCTTGTTTGATGAGTTCCAACAAACCATTATTATGACGCATTTAATTGTCTATGGAGGGTTTCCGGCTCACTCAAACGAAATATCGAAACGGCGACGCTCCGTGTCATTGACCCGCATTCATAGGTTGACTCACTTCAGAGAGTTTATCAAGTAAACAGCCTGTACCTTGGTCCACATATTTGTGCACCTTTGACTTGGTCTGACCCAGTCGATAACTTGGTCTTGGATACTTAGCAGCACAATTCGTCAGGAAACGTCTTCATGAGTTGACGGGGCTACGCAGTTGGGTTTTAAGAGATTTCGTCCTACAGGAGAATCCAGTCCATGGTGAATGACGAAGAAGCAATGTACAAACATTTCATCCCAATTGAGACTTATCAGCAGTTCTTAGTCGGATTTCTTGGGTTCCCGGTAATCGTTGTGAGTTTGTTGTTATACGCACTTAATGGCTGTTAGCAGTGTTCAGCTATGTTAAAAACGCCACTTCCAAAAGTTCCAGATGGTAAGGACTGACGTAGCAAGCTCATTTAAAAAAACACTTCCAAAAGTTCCAGATGGTAAGGACTGACGACCAATCTGAAGGTCCATCTTGTCGCACCAACACGTGTGAATCATAGCTACTCAAGTGTCAAATTAGTGGACTAACCGTCTTATAAACATGAAAATATTCGCCCCACTCTCAAGAGATACTGGGATGCACTCAGAAGCAAATGGAAATAATTAGGCCCACTGAGGAGCAAGCAATACGGTTCCCAGTAGTTAACCTCTCACGAGCAGACATTCCAGTAGAGGAAATTTTTCGAAAGCTCCGAGACTGACTGGATGACAGAGGAGTACCATGCTCTTCTCCTGCATCATGCGGCCTACCTGACTAGTGCTGGCACCATATGAAGATACTATCCTAGAGTCGATATATTTTGCTGTACTGGAACGTGCAACCTTGAGCTTTTGGATGGAACAATCGAAAGAATCACCAAGCCGTTGTGACACACGTTAACAGGTCCATACGGACTGCCTTCATCCGCGCACCAACTATCATTTTTGTGACGCGGTTTTGTTTGTCACTCCATGAAGTGGACACGGAGGTTCATGTTATGGGCGAAAAACTATCATCTTGGGGCGCGCGTTTTGTCTCCGTCTGGATTACTCCCAGGACCAACGTAAAACACAGGATTCAACGGAATGTTTGTGATAAACACTAAGTAGAGAGCAGACTTTCTGCCGGGTACAAGAACACAAACTTGTTATAAAGAGGCTCGATTAGTTTACATTAGTCCCTGTGCACGAGGATCAGCGTGGGCACTAAACTGACTGCAGGAATGTCCAAATACTAGCCAGTCTGAAGCCACCGAAACAGCCACAAACAAACATTGTGAAATCGACCCGATCCATCAACCACCAACGACAAAAGAACACCACGACCACAAGCCTCGAAAGTGCACGAGACACCGGATGGACCGTGTAGAGCATGAGCAGGTGGATTCAAATCCAAAAGAATGACCAAGCCTATGGAAAGGGCTAATCAGCCAAGAAATCAAAGAATAAAATTGAACAGTTGAACATCTGAATAGCTTGTCATACACGAAGAACTCTCCTATCACAAGGAAAATTTTCCATAGTAAACAAAAAGGGCAACCAACTCAGCATTGGAAAATCAGAGAGCAACGCAACCGAAGTTCAGAAGAGACCAATCGGACCTAAAAAAAAAAAAACCAGTAGAAACGGAAACCACTGCAAGTGTAAAGGCACAAGCAGTTAGCACGTAAATTAGACACGATCTCTCTTCAATTCACGTCTTGCATCATCCACACAAGACAGTAGGATCAAATTCCATCCATGACAGCGCGAAGAGCAAAGTTTCAGCCACCCAGTAAATGGAAGCACTATGCAGCAACAGTGAAAAGTGCGGTGAAGGCGGCATAAAAGTTATGGTTTCAAAATGCTCCGATGAACGCGATGACTCTGGTCACATGACTGAAGTCCAACATATCTCACGGACTCAAATTCGAGAACTCGTACAGCCACTCTTGTGGACATCATTTTTTGCATCAAGTACAAAACTGAATGTACCTTATAAAAAGTGGCCAAACTGCTGTCTTTACCTATCCCCAAAGTTATCGCACTAACGAAATTTCCAATGGGATAAAATCAAGATAGGTTAGGAACACGGTTAAGAAGGCACCGTTTAACCCCGAATAGTAACGTTTACGGTGATAAACGGTTGTTTACAAGGGTAACCTGGAAGAAAGGCAATTAAAAAAGCCAGTTCACGCCGATTTGGTATGGTTCGAGAGCCGCTACCAACTGAAACAACCGAATAAAGGAACTTCCGGTGTGGACGTTTCACGGTGGAACTCCGTAACATTGCTTGAATAACGTTAAATTTTCAGCAAACTACTCTGCAACCTACAGAAAGCGCTTCCGTTGGTAAGAGGCCAACAAATCTGCAAAACCATCGAAGTAAATTATTTACCACCTATCTATTGAATGGATCAAGGCATAGTTAGAACCTACAAATCCTCGTGCATAACCAGCTTGATGCATAGTATTTTCCCACTGATTAAACAGGTGAAATCCTTTCGGATCTTTTCACACCGTAATTGGCGTTCCAATGAACCACGAAGTGCCACAAGTTCCTCCAACGAAGCTAGCTGTCTTTGTCAGTTTGGCTTATGTGCACCTGTCGAAAAACGGGATAACTATGTGCGAGGCATATCACTTGTACACCCCAGAACCGCCGACGCATTTTTACTGACCTGGATGGAGCAGGCAGGCACATCAAAGTAAAAGCTGGTTACAGGGGAGATTACCGTTGGTAGAGGATTTGTTTAGCCGACATCGACACACTTAGATATGATGCGACTGATGAGGAATATCGCCGCTTGTCACCATGAGGTGTGCCGCATGTGCGGCGTTTCTGTTCTGACGTGATGAGTTTTTACAGCATTTGGTAAACTCAAGTAAACCACAGCAGCATGCATCATTGCGCTTTATACTGTGATGTTGTCCGTGTTTTTTTCCTGAATGAATACAGAGTGATGAGGAAATTCGCAAGCTTGAACTGCATCTTCGAGGATGGTCACTCATTTGCCCGAAGACAGTCATAGTTGACGGTGGACACCGTTGGTTTCCTCGATTAACTAGCCTTGCGAGAGAATTCGGCTTCTCTGACTGTTCTACACGAGTACGTTCTTAATGCAGACAGACAGATGCTCCCCCAGCATTTTCAGGATAGTAATCAAGCCTTAAAAATTGTTTTGGTGTCATAGTCCCTTGACTGGGCCTGCAGATTTTCCTCAGGACTCGCCTGGAAATTATACAAGGCACCGCATGTAAACTAACCAAATGGTAAGTATGCCAGCACTTCCCGGTTGGATTGTCTACCTTAATTTGATCTGCCACTGTGCTGGGCTCGAATTAGGTGCAGTTCACACGGGATAGTGTCTATCCCATCTGAAGCCTTTTTACCCTCTGCAGTGTTCATACTCATTTTGACGTTCTTCGAAGATGATAGCACCTTTGCTTCGCTGACTCGCGCTAACACTGAACCCCCAACTCTCCCCCTTTTCCACTCCCTAGAAGGGCTTCCTTCATTTTTGAAAATAAGTTGGCCGAGAGTGTTTACTACCATTAAATTGATGATGGCTAGGTAAGAATGGCCCTGCTTATTCGATGGTTTCATCGACGGAACAAAATTTGAAAGCACCGTTTGTATTTAGGAAAGACTGTTTCTTACCTCTTCTTTCTTGTTATGTTGACGAAATGCCCACCCCTGACATTTAATGCGGTTGAAATATGCTTAGAATGCTGTCTGTGTAAACAACGCCACTAATGCTTAAATTGATCCACAGGCCATACTTAATGTTCGGATGGACCATTCCCTGAAACGTTCAGTCACCGATTTAAAAAGTCAAAACGTGGGTTCGCCCCTCGTTCAAATGCTATAGAGGCGATCACGGTAACCTACCTCTTCCCACAGCTAATGAGGCCTCCAGTCCGAGATCCAAAATGGCGAAGTGCTTCAGAATGACCAAATCAAGCGACCTCGGATGGTCCCGGCATACAAAATTCACCTTCACCAAAGTTCGACAACTAATATTTGATGTTCTCAGGTTCAGAATGTATTATTTAGTCAGAGCTAAATTTTTACACTCCACTGTACGTGTTTTTCGAGCTGAATTTGCTGTTCACCTGTTGCATTACTCGGAATACTTGATGAAGGCTACTGCCCATTAAGACGGAAGCCTATCTTCAGACTGATCATCATCAGGAAGACACTAAAAACTATTGGTGCTTGATTGCTATATAGTACCGTTGTGTGAACGTCCCATGTGGACCAAGACGCTGCGACGGGGCCCACATATTCCGACTATGGTCCGAACTCACATCTAATTTGGATGGATGATGTCTGTCGGACCTCCATCCACTGACCAAACTAATAGCGGACACTCTGTACGCCGTATGATCGTTTTGCATTTATTGACGAATATAAACTTTCGCGTGTCAACACAGTCCGGTCCAATAATCAAACCATATCAATTGTGCAGTCAAGAAGCATAGGGTTGCCTTGTATAAATTTATAGAACCACTTCGAATGTCCAGCAGCACGCACAACCTTTCCAGTGAGGGCTGTTCCGAATTACAACAGAGCCAAAATTCGAACTCACGTTTGCTAGCTACATGACAATACTCAGTTGAAAGAACATCTGATCGCGGGCTGAGGCCAATCTTGCGATTCCGATATACTGCTCTTACCCAACCGTTTTTTATGCTGAGCAAATAACTTCCCTGTTTTAACGACCAAAATGAAGCTAGACAAGTCATATATGCTATTCACTTCAACGTACGAGCACTCTGCAGCCAGCACTACTCACAACCGACGATCGGTACAGTGAAAGACGACCTTTGTTTCATCAACGGAGTATGAAAACGGTAACACAAGGCCAGCAATACGAGCGTTCTCAAACGATTTCGGAATATCTAGCTGCTCGGCCATAAGGCATAAAATTCTCCTAAATCACTGTAGGTCTGCGCGGTACATACTCAAACCACTGTAGATATCGTTTAACAATTTCGGAAATCGAAGCATTTCTTGACAACGTCAACTGGCGTAGCCACTAGATACTCCATGAAACAATTTGTCCGAGACACCAAAGATGAAACACTTCGAGCTTAAGGAATCAGGCTTGCACCATACTCAGTCGCAGTGTCTAAACGGCATCATTACGAGACATCTCTGAGGCCAGGACACTCTGTTACAGCAGACAGCTATTCACACGTAAACAATACACAGGGTCCCGATGCATGGTGCTAGTGACTCTTCCGTTTCCGGGCAAAAAGAGCGACTCACGAAGTACCTCCATACTGACAAAGTTGCCCTACCGTTTAGCAAGTTACAACACAAAGCTTGTTTACTTGACCGGAATTCTTAAATTGTCCAGTACGCAAGTGATAAGCATAAACCATTAAAACTGAAGGTTGTTAGTAGACAGGGAAGGAAACGGAGTATAAATGATCACAGCGCAGTGTTGCAGACAGATGATGATAAAGGTGTCTTTTGTCACACGCATTATGACTTGATTTTAGAAGGCGATTTCAGACACCCGCAGCTATTTGCCGGTTGACCTTTTGTAGAAGTTTGCGATCCAAATTTCGCTGACGTAGACGGATAATCGCGTAGGTGATCGAACCAAGAAGGACGAGAGCAGCCAAAAAGATGAAAAAACGTCTAAAAGCGTCAAAGTTTCTGGGAAGTTCTGGTGAAGGACATCCCAGATCTGTATTCTGTGAAGAAAAGATAAAGTATATAAAACCGGATGAGCTGTGACATTCACGTACTTTGAGCTAATGCCAAATTGGGAAATGATGCAGTCCATAGGTTAAATCACGAACTCGTACAGCTTTCTGGAACGACTTTAGAAAAAAACTATAGAAGGCATCAGGAGTGTACACGAATCTCCTTTTTCGACGCAGCGACTGGAAGCAGGAAAAGGACCACAGACTGTAGCATTCGAGAAGACTAAGATTAACAAAAATGAAATATGTGCACCAAAACGGTACATTTATGCTGTTACAACAAACCATTAATAACTTCACAGTGTGGGACAGGCTACGTCATCGTTTCAGACGGTACGAGTGCATTATCCCAAGTATCGATTTTTTCTCTAGGGAGACCCTCCTACGGTAAAAACATCGGAGACCGTTCGAGAAAAATTAGTTTGTCCAAATAGTGTATACATTAGAATTTGCGGCCACGTAAGTAAGCCAAACAAGGTCTGCAAGATCCAGTTGTTCAACAGCTACTGAACAACATCCACTAAGGGCTACTTGTTCTAGTGCGTACCAACCCATTGCCGAGGGTCAGCTGAGTTGTTTATGACAACTAATATGTTGTAGTTAGCTTAGAGAGTCGGTTAACGCACACATACGCAGCAGCGGTTTTGATATACGTGATTGTGCTAGTAAACGGCGTAGTTTTAGCGCTAAATGCGCAGTGTGATGATGACAGTGTAGATGAAATCTTTCGAATATTCTAACATACAGGACAGCATCCACCGAGTAGAAGCCCTACAACAAGGCGGTACAAATTCAGGAGCTTAGTTTACACAGAACAGCCATGAAAATTAGAAAGGCAACAAAGATAAGACCGACAAAGCGTAGTTCAAGCAATGCAGACAAATTAAACTTGAGAGCTCGTACTCAGTTCGGGTCGAGGTAAAAGAACCCAAACCAGGTCGATATACCCCATAAATTAGAAAAGGCATCCACTCATTAGTGGCAAACAAAATTGAAGGTCACTAAGAAAGAATTTCCCACAGCTCAGTGGGCGTGCCCCCTAAAACTTGTCAGTAGAGGACAGGGCTGTTAATATTTAATCATTGATATTAGTTTAGTGTGTTCCACAACTGCTGAAAGAGTGAACCATCCAAGCAAAACCATACACAGCAGAATTTAAAAAAAAAAACGCTGGAAAAGATTTTATTCCATATCGTTAGAACCAAAATTTATCCGCAAGGAAATACAACAGAGTGGTTACCTTTGGATCACAGAAAAAAAAACCTGGAAAAGATTTTATTCCATATCGTTAGAACCAAAATTTATCCGCAAGGAAATACAACAGAGTGGTTACCTTTGGATCACAGGGCTGAGCTATCCCAGCTACAAGGAGTAAAAGAGATTAACGAAGGTCTCCAGCGAAACTTACCGGTTCGAAAACGAGAAAAGAAACGCTGGTCCAGATACTCCGCATGAACTAGGAACAATATAGTAATTCTATACGATGATGAGTTAGAAACCACGATCACACTTACACCATGCCCACAGATAGTGACAATAAACAGAACCTCTCGGAAAAATAAAACATGTTGAACAAATCCCGGATATATATCTATTATCGAAGGGTAGTAATTGTTGCCCCGTGTGCCTCCATCAGCTGAAAGAGTATATGGGAAAGCCACGTCATTGTATTAAATTAGGATGATCCCAATCTCTGTTTAGAACGACGATATCATTTGGTTGTCGGATTGTGTGGCTAACTCACGGCTTACTCAAGACATGTGGCTAATACACTGGCTGTTCATTTGGGAAGTCATCCTGGCTACTACACAGGAGAGCGTATGATGTAAGATAATGGGTTGTATTCGGTCATCGTATTGCGCGATGGCAGTATTAGTGCTCTATTTCGGCTTTTTCACAAGATATCCGACAGCAAACTACAAGCTGCAGTGGTACCTAAAAATCACTGCGCTTTGCAAAAAATAGGGATATCTCAGGTGGGGAATACGATCAGTACCACATGCGTCCACCTTAAACAACCGAATAGCTGTTGTTACAAGCGGCCATCTGAATGAACATCGCTGAACGATTCACTCGCTCTAAAACGAGTTCCCACACTGCCACCTGATACGAAAACAGATTACACCGATATCGATTTTAGCGAATTTCACTGGAGAACCTAACAACACTATCCTTTTGATGGGTGCCGAAAACCAGACAGTCACCAACATTTGCGTCTGTGTGTACCTTATTATTCTGAAAGAGTAGCGGATGACAAAGGTGAGTTATCAGTGTTTAGATTTTTTCCACTACTAGTATGAAAACCACCCTTGAGGGTGGCTAAAAACAGTGGGTGGCCATTAAGTTTTGGATATATTTAGAACACATAGTGAAAACAAAAACCACCCATTCGAATAAAGCCGTTCTAATAGAACCATTACGTTGGAGGTTGGTCAGCATTCACCTTACTGCACTCAATGTGAGCTGGTAGTTATGTTGATTTAGTCACTTGGTTCACGGCAAACGAGCAAATATCGTTTAAACTCGCATATTTCGCTCCCAACATGCTTAATGAAAACCACTATTTCCAGAGACAGTGTTAACAGCTTCTTCCTACCTCCCGCATATCAGCACAGTGTCCACCGCTCAATCGATAACACCACATCAGCTGGGAAAAACCGCGTACTTGTCGTACACCGGTTATAGCTGCCACATTTTCGTTCGCTGATGTGGGAATATGGGGTAGATATCTACGCATTACAGGAATGAATAAAAGGGTGTCAATGGACTTTTCATCGGGGATATCAGGAGGGGCGAGATGGCTCAAGTGGTTAGAGCACGAATTTACTGACCGGAAGGCCCGTTTGTTCGAACCCACCCCCGCCTCTCAACTTCCCCTGTCTAAGCTTGGGCAACCTGGCAGTATCTCAGCCCTCGTGCTTCCTTCGGGTGGCATGGCAGCTAGGCACCGAAAGGGTGCTACAGCTGAACAACTATTATTATACCTTATATATATTATATCAGGAGGGCAGCTTGCACTGAGCGCAACAGCTTGGATGCACGCGTGCCATTGAGCGCACCTCTGGATCATGACTAACAATATTCCTAACCATCGAAATGCGTCCCATCTCAGGGAGAAAGCAACGACTAGTCCACAGCTGGTAACAGCTTTCAAGTCACTGTTTGGCCCATTTACAGCCTTTGCGTGTTTTTTTCCGAAGGGCTCTTCGAGGAAGTCTGCCGAATGGCTTACGGAGCACGTGACTGTTATGAATATTCTTTGTGCTCACATTATCCGAAGGGCTGAGGAAGTCTGCCGAATGGCTTACGGAGCACGTGACTGTTATGAATATTCTTTGTGCTCACATTATCGTTTTATATTAACTAACCTTTCGCCTTCATTTTCAGCTTATGTACGTCTATTCTTAGACAAGTAAAGCGCTATTCATTATACGCCATTCATTCTTGTTCTCGTGCTCAATCAGAATCGATATTCTATTCGTAACAATTTACTTGTCTAAGAATACCATGGAACCGTTGCTGCGACCCAAGTGTTTCGACGCAGATCCTAATTCTCCAGACGCAACAACGCGTTGGAATCATTGGTTCCGAACCTTCCAAACGTTTCTGGGCACTGTCGAATCGCCCAATCTAAATAAACTCGAAACTCTGATCCATTTTGTGGATGCACCTGTATACGTTTATATCGCTGACTGTCCAGATTACGAATCAGCTATCAGTGCACTTGAAAAGTTGTACGTTCGTCCAAAGAATATAATTTATGCTCGCCATCTTCTACAAACTTGCAAACAAGACACCAGTCAAGATGTTGATCAGTTTGTTCAGAGGCTTAAATCCTTGGCCAAAAATTGTGATTTCAAGGCGGTGTCCGCCATTGACCATCAAAACGAAAGTGTACGCGATGCTCTAATCAACGGACTTCAGTCTACTACCATCAGAGAACGACTTCTAGCTCAAAACGAACTCACTCTCGATGAAGCTCATGAATTGGCCAGGTCATTAGAATTGGCCCACAAACAAGCTCAGTCATACTCACATAACCAGGCGATATCATTTTCTGCGGCTGCAGCACCTTTACAGACATCTACAGTTATCCCTTCACACTCAAACTCCCCTGATTCTACACCCTATCTCTCGTCAATCAGTTCTCAGATATGTTACTTTTGTGGTCGTTCCAGACATCCACGGTCAAAGTGCCCCGCAAGAGAAGCAGTTTGTAAATCATGTGGCAAAACAGGCCATTTTCAGCGTGTTTGTCGATCCAAATCTGTAAAGTGTCACTCAAATTGCACAACGGATTCGGCCTTATCTTCCCTGTTGACTGCTGCGGCCCCGAACTGCTTGTCTCGCACGGTGACCAGCATAAAGGTGAACGGGATATCGCTTCAGGCCCTCATAGACACAGGAAGTTCGAGCAGTTACATATCTCCTTTGGTGGTTGGTAAACATGGCTGGAAGGTATATGCTAACAATTCTGTGATTACCATGGCATCTACCTCTCTGACGTGTTCAACTAGAGGCTACTGCTACGCATCCATCGATTACAGGGGCACCGTTTACAAAAAGATCAAACTATTGGTATTACCCAATCTATGTGCTGACCTGCTGCTAGGCCATGACTTCCTTGGTCTACATAACAAAGTTGAAATCACATTCGGTGGGGACCGAGGTCCATTCACCCTCTGCGGTCTACCTGCTGCTGCGGTCGAGTCACCTCCTCTTTTTGCTAACCTCTCACCCGACTGCAAGCCTGTTGCTACAAAATCGCGACGTTATAATCCGGACGATGAACAATTTATCCGCTGTGAAGTTAATCGACTATTGGATGAAGGTATAATCGAACCTTCGAGTTCTCCATGGAGGGCTCAAGTACTGGTCACGAAAAATTCAAACCACAAAAGACGCATGGTAGTGGACTACAGTCAAACCATTAATCGGTTCACATACCTAGACGCGTATCCGTTACC